AACCACAATCCCGGAAAGGAGATAAGAGCTCAAGTGCCCGAGAGAGTGAGAGCTGACTGAGCAAGCGAGATGACCCTAAGAGAGGGGTGACCCACAGAGAGAGACAACCCAGAGAGAGTGCTTCCGGACAGGGGCCTCATCTATAAACTGGGCATGACGTGCATGATATGGAATAGACCACTGGCCAGTTTGGGTCTCAGTCCTAAACCTAAGGTTGATTCCTAGGCTAGTAACTGGGGCTGTGCTCCCTCCCAGCATCTCCTGCACCTGCAGACACTGGCATAATAGAGAAGCTGAAAAGCCCTTGACTGTCCTGGCAGCAACTATAAACATCAGTATGTTATCAGCCTTCTCCTCAGCACAAGTCCAAAACATAGCCTCTCACTAGCTACTGTGAAGAAAAATAACTCTGTCCCAGCTGAAACTAGGGCAACTTGTTAAGCTGTTCCAGTACCTACCTGTTCTTCTTTCTGAAAGGAAGCAAAAATCTAAGAAGCTTTATCAGTAGGGTAAACCTAATGATTAAAAAGCATTACTTTTATCTTTGAATGTGGTGTTGAAGTTGATTACACAGTTACTAGGTCTTAACTTTTTTTTTAATGTGTCTTACCTGGGCACAGTGGCTGCCACTGATTTGGGTATACTCTGACCCCTTTTACATGATACTCGTAGTCAAGGAGTAAAAGTGATTCAGGAAGTGGCAAAAGCACATTCATATTTTTCCAGAGTAAACAGACTATATGTGAATAAAACATTTGGCAGGAGCAGGGTGGGAGAGGGTAAGAAAAAGACTTCTTGCTTGTGGATTGTGTTGCTTTTTCCTCCTAGATTTTTAACAACAATGGATCAGCTGAATTTTCTGTGACAACTAATGAAACTTCTCACATCACTCCAGAGTATATTGGCTCTCAGCTGCTACTGAAATTGAAGAGAATGGCAGAAGGCTGTCTTGGCATCCCCATTTCAAAGGCAGTCATCTCTGTGCCTGCAGAGTTTGATGAAAGGCAACGGAATTGTACCGTTAAGGCAGCTAACCTTGCAGGTGATGCCTCTTTATTCCAGCATTTTTCTCTGAAGCCTTAAAATTATCTTTAGGTCTGTTTTACTAACAGTAAAGTCTTTGGGGAGGATATAGAAATAGTGAATCAGTGACAGAGAACCTTAGAATGGATTTTTATTTTTTTACAGACCGTGGAACAGCAGAGAGCTCTTGGGTACTGACAGGTGCAGCTGACTAATGCAAACATAGATGGCGAGAAGAAATAAGTTTTACTTCAGGGAAAATATTCTTTTTGGTAATCTCCAAATAGAGAGACTATACAGAGGACCTTTGGATAATAATTTAAACAGAAATGGAACATGTGAAATAAATCTCCCTAACAAGGTTTCTCTGGAAGAAGTGTGTTTGGGGAAATCATGGTTTATGACTTCACCCTGATGCTGAAGTAGTATTACTTTAGGCTTAAATAAGGAAAAGAGTTCACTGAGTATTACTTAGAAAACTATTTCCTTTAGATCTGACATTTTACTTAAGGTGAGTTTGGTTAAAAAAAAAAAAACAAACTCAACCCCACAAAAAACAAACTAATGGTAAATGTCATCATGATGTGAGAACTGCAGTTTTCTGAGGTTGCTTGCTATGTTTGCTTTTTGTAGGGCTAGAAATTTTGCGAGTAATTAATGAACCCACAGCTGCAGCTATGGCTTATGGACTCCACAAAGCTGATGTGTTTAATGTCCTGGTGGTGGATTTGGGTGGAGGAACTTTGGATGTGTCTCTGTTGAACAAGCAGGGAGGGATGTTCCTCACACGAGCCATGGCAGGTGAGAAAAATGCTTTACTTTCTCAAGGAGTGGGGGGGAAAGGAAAGGTGCACCTGAAGTCACCATTGGAGGGAGGGGCTTTTAAAAACATACCAGCCTTGTCGCAAAGTGTTCTCCGAAAGTGTCCTCAGCTGCCTTTCGTGCAAAATTAGGTTTGTGACTGGTTTCAACAATTAAGATAAATTCACAGGTTTTGTCTGACTCAAAGGCAAAGGTTGTGGTTTCATTTTATCCATGGCTGTTAACTTTTTTGCCCACTAGTAAAAGTGCTGGTGCATATTACAATTACTTTGAATGGACTTTTGGGGGCTAGGGGTGTAACAAATCTTTCAGTTACCTTTGTCCAAGCTGGAAATACTTACCAAAACATTGACCAGTGCTTTAGAGCATCCTTGCCTTGTGTTTGGCTCCAGCTTAGTTGGGCAGGGTTTGGGAATGCGTATGCTGTTAACCCAGAAGTAAGTTTTGTAATACGTGTATGCCAAAGTGATTCATCACTTGGCGAAGAGTTCCAGCAGCAATGTTTAGTAAAACTGTACGAATACACAACTGGTTTTCAGATGACCTGAATTCAGACAGGCCTGAGACTCAGTACAAACTGTCTGCATTGCCTTGAATGATCAAGGCTTGATGTGAGCTGCTGCTGAGTCCAGTGAGAGTGGAACAGCAAGAAATATTCAGCAGCTTCATTCTGGTTTATTTAGATGAAGGTCCACTAAGTGAATTCCCATTTTCAGTCAAAACAAAACAGTGGAAACTTTAAGAGTATTGTTCAACACAGATGAAAATCTGCAGGCCATTTTTTTTTTAACTCTGTTCAATGGGAAGCATGAACAATTGTTTGAAAGGTTTTGGAAATTTGCTGCAAGCAAATTTCTTTCAGTAGAAATTGGTCATATATCATACTTTTTTCCTTTTTCTCTGAAGGCTAATGTAAGATTCACCTGTTAATAGAGCTTGAAATTCACTGCATGCTTTTTATCCCTTTCTTCCACTTTTGGCAGGGTATATACGTATACTTCAGAAGCATGTAGTTTTTTGTGTGGGTGCATGAAGATGTTGAATAACTTGAAAACAATGATTCCTATTAAGCTGTACTGTGCAAGTGCTAAGAGAAAAATCTATTCTGGGCAGAGAGAAATTTGAAACTGGGAATTTTAGCTGGACATTTTTTTGTGACACATTGCACTTCAGTTACAGGGTTCCAGCTAGAAATTTATTGTTTCAGATTTTATTCTATAGAAAATACCTCTGAGTTAATGACCACTGCTTTTTTCTGTTACAGTGTAACAGAGCATTTCCAGAAGGAAAAACATTGAGGGGGATAAATTCTAGAACACTTGCTCAATAAGAAGCTGGAAATTACTATCCATGCGTTCTTCAGTAGACAACAATTATTTCTATTTTCCCAGCTCTATGAGCTCTTGCACTATGCTTATGGTCCTAGTATCATTGTTCTGGCCCTTGAGAACTATCTCCCAGTAAAAGGGAAGATGCCTGCTGCTTTCTGAAGCTTTGAAGGTGATGTGTCTGATGCCTTCTTTTCTGATGTTTCAGGTAACAACAAACTTGGAGGACAAGATTTTAATCAGAGGTTGATGCTGTATTTATATGATCAGCTCCATCAAATGTATGGTTCTCTGCCAACAAGAAAAGAAGAAATACATCGCCTCAGACAGGCTGTGGAAGCAGTTAAACTAAATTTGACTGTTCATGAGGCAGCTACGCTAAGGGTGTCGTTGACTATGCCAGAAAGGACGCTTAGAAAAAAACTTCCAGAAAGTGAGGTAAAAGCAAACACTTTGCCACCAGGGAAGCCTTCACAAAAAACAAAAGATCTGACAAATCTTGAAGATACTTCAAAAGTAGAGAACAACTTTGTCCAGGTTGTGTTTGAAACAGAAATCTCTAGGAAGCTATTTGAGATGTTAAATGAGGACCTTTTTGAGAAGATTCTTGTGCCCATTGAACAGGTGTTGAAGGAAGGCCACCTACACAAAGCGGAAGTGGATGAAATTGTCCTAGTTGGAGGCTCCACGCGGATTCCTCAAATACGCAAAGTTATTCAGGATTTCTTTGGAAAGGAGCCTAACACCTCTGTAGATCCTGATCTAGCAGTTGTAATGGGCGTAGCTCTCCAAGCAGGAATTGTTGGTGGGTCCTGGCCTCTGCAAGTCAGTGCTATAGAAATCCCTAATAAGAATTTACGGAAGACTAATTTTAACTGAATAAAAACTCTTCCTCATTGCATTCCATCTCTCCAAAAGCGTACTCTGATGGTGCATACTTATCTGACTGGTAGTGGAGCCTAATCTTAGCCATATTATATTTGGTTTTTTATCAATTGCAGTTAGGTGTTACTGAATGCCTAAATGTGTTAAAGCTAGATGTTACTTTAAAGGTACGAGTGATTTTTTTTGAAGTTATGAAGAATCCTGTATTTGCTTGTAGATGGGATATTGGAGGAAAATGCTAGTGAGGACACACTCACATTTTCTTGCTAAATTTTATTAGCAAATCCTGAAGAGCTGTATGTTTCAAATATAACAGGACTGTGACCAAAGGTTAGAGGTAATACAGTATGGTACTGTAGGTATTCCCAGGTCCGATATACTTACTTTGAAAGAATGTGAAGCAGTGTTAACGCACATAGCACTAGCAGTGTTCAGCTTAAATTTATTTATTAAATTGAGTCATTTGAGCATTTAAGCACCTTTCTAAAAGGCACGTTGCAGCTTGAATGAGACTTAACGCATTCAATTGATTCTTCTGCTGTTCATAACAGCATAATGGTGTTACTGAGGCTGTATGGAAAATTGTCTCATGTTTCAGCCAAACCCTGTTAAGAAACTTAGCTCTTGCTAATGTAGAGTGAGTTAATGTGTCTCCAAGGGCTTACTTCCTGATCTAGTTTTGATGGTTAACATACAGGTGCTGCTGTCATACCACTGATGTTCTCCACAGAGAACAAGGGCATATTGCCAGCTATTTATACCTCCCCCCTGCCTTATTTGAAAACTGTAGTAATTTTCTGTATCTTAAAGCCACACCTGTATATCTTCACTTGAATTTGACCAACACAAATTTAATTTTTGCACATCTACAAGTGTGTGATGTCTTTCCCCTTGAGTACCCCAAGCTGTACTGTTTTCAGGGAGAAAGTGTGCGACAGAAGGGACTGCCTAGGTGAAGTCTAGTTCCTGTAATCCTGGTAAATGACAATTCACCCAACTATTCTGTACCTTTTAGCTCGTATCTGTGGTTGAAGATTTGTCATATCCCCCTTCTAAACTGAATGTAGATCAGAAATTGTAGCTGTTCTTTTGGGAAGGAAGCAGTGTGTGTAACTCAGGATTTGAGGTTGCACTTCTTAGGACTTTGTTAGTGGAATAGTTTGCTACCCAGCTATCTAGCAAATGCATGAGGAGAAAAAAAATCAAAGATCTGAAAAAAAATAAAATTAGTGACAGTTCACTCTCTTTGGAGGGTTAAATCAATACTTAAAGGCCATTGAATCCTTTTATCTATGTAGAACTTTCTACAGTGAAAGCACTTCATTCAGCTAAGACTGGCTTCAGCATCCGTCAACCCAGTCTTAATCAGGTAAGCTCTAGTAACAGGTGGTTCTAAGCATTTTCTTGTATGCTGCAGAATAATTTTGTTTGTTGTAAACTTGCCAAGATAAAGTGTGGGGCTTAGATTTATTGTTTAACCTATGACTATATTAAAATAGGCTTATTATTCTCCTGGCAGTAGGCCTGATTTATAGCACTGCCATAAATCAGTTGTGCTGATTCAGCTGTTTGCATAGCTATTATTTGAACATATCTTTGAAGTAATCCAGTTAAAATACTCTTAAATTGAATTATAGTTGCACACAACCATTCCATCAGTATTGTTTAACTTCTCAAAGGATTCCCAAAATATTGCTAACATCTTAATTTCCATGAGTTGAAAACCAAAGTGATTTTTGTATTTGAGGATTTTTTTCCTTTTGTAACTCTTTGAAAGTGACCCTGTCTCTAAGTCTATATGGAACGTCCAGTAACATGTGATAAAGTGTTCAAAAGAAAGTGTTGCACAGTTATAAACAGTGAGTGGTAAGGGACTAAGGTGAATATGAATGAGTTGAAAGAAGTGCCTCTTCAGTGAGATCATGGGTGAGTGCCAACATACAGTACAGTTCTTGTATGCAGTTGCTATTTGAGGCCTTGCCTTGCACATATAAATGTGTGTATTTAATTCAATATGTATTCCAATGTCTTTGGAGTCATTGTGGCCTTTCCTTCTGCCCTGTAAGTTCATCTCAAAGTCTACTGGAGTTACAGTGGGTCTTTAGTCTTCAGTTTTTTAATGCACTGGGTAAAATGAGCAGACCTCTATGAAAATAGAACCACATCGCAGTGAAGTTAAACTATTAAAAGCTTTTTGCAATTTTGGGACAAGACTTTAAACTGTTAAATTTTCAATTCAAATAAATGAAGTACTTCTTTCTTTTTCTTTTTCTCCTTCTCTCTGGAGGAGTTAAATCTCCTTGAGTGTTAATCTGGGAATTGTAAGGGAACAATGAGTTGCTTACTTGTGGAAAAAAAAAATCACAAAAGTGTATTTATTTAGATTTCTGTACAGGTTTTTTTTTAGTAGAGAAGTTACTGTACATTGGATATCTCACAATGCATCCTTATTTATTAAATAACTGGTTTTTGATTTCTGCAATCAAGCTATTTATTTTGTGTCTTTTGATTTTTAGTACTGTATTTTGACACAAACCATCAAATCTTAAAGATGAGTCCACTGTACTAAGTAGACCTTTCCAGATATGCACATGTACTGCTTACCAAAAAGTCTCACTTTAAACGAATTGGTATTTTAAGGCTGAAACCTTTCTACAAATAATCCTTAAAATCTGAGTATGGTTACCTGTGGTGTTAAGTTTGTAACAAATTTATATAGCTAAAGCTTGTTTTGTGAGTTGAAATTCTGAAAGTGTAAGATGCCTCACCAATTGTATGTTCCTGAATTGTTTCCAAGTGCGGATGATGAAATGCATTTTATAAATAACCTTTTAGAATGTTTTTAATAAAAGCAATTTCTGTCCCTTGGATATGTCTTGTTTCAGTTTCTCAGAGAAATACTGTAACAGCACAATTTCCCTATATCTTCCTTGAATTCCTTTGGAGGTTAGAGGGTGAAGTTGTAATCCCTCAACTTGTCAAGGGTCTGCTATAGGTGGGAATGACAGATCACTGGGAAGTGGCACAGGGCACTGCCAGGAACTGGAGTGGGAGTGGAAAAACCCTTTCTCCTCGAGCTGCAGTTTGGGGTGTAAGAATGAAACTGAGAAGAAAGGTGCAGGCTGGCAAAAGGCAGAAATGCGTAAGTTTCTATGAGGGAAGGGAGGGTTTCCACTTGGCTGTGCAGTTTCTCGTGTGATACTGCCAGGAAAGTGTAGACCAAGGGCTGGAAGCAGAGCTGAGGGAAGTAAGCACCTAAGAAGATGCTGCCTGTGGGATTTTTTGAATGCTGTGGGGAAGGAAGTTGAAGCAGAGCATGAGCAGGTTCTGCTCCATGCTTCTCACTGTGAAAAGCAGAAACAGGGCCATGGTGCCCTTTTGAGCCTCATCCGCACTTTAGGCTCTCCCCTGATACCCTGGCTGTCCCACCCTTCCTTTCCCTAACCCAAGCAACTTAGCTGGAACAGGGAGGCTAATCAGTAGCTCCTCAGAGGGATGAACTGTTGGGTCCCCTGTACTATCTCCAACTAAGTGATGGTAACATGCGCAGGCAAAAGGCCCTTTGAGAACAGCCCCAAGCTGGGTTTTTCCACACTTGCATTTCCTCAGTCTAGCACCTTCTCAGGAGTCTCAGCAGTTAATGGCCCACATGGGCAGAGCCTTTCACAGGTGGTAGGTACCTATGAGTAGCTCCACAGGACGAGGCTGGGACCTGACCCCCAAATGCCCTGCAGGCACAGGAGAAATGCTGTTAGGAGGAGAAAGTGCGGGAGAGGTGAGGTACCTGCTGAGCTGGCCTGCAAGGCGTTGACATGGCTTTGTCTGTGCTGTCAATGGAGTTGGCTGGTGATATTGTGTTTGGGTTGTGTTGGGTACTGCAAATTCTGAATTACTATTGAACCTGAAGCAGCCAAGTGGTCTGTCTTTGTTTCTTACAGTGAGTTTCTTTGACATCAGGTGTGTGAGGAGAGCAGAGGTTGCAGACCCCGGGTGATACTCTTAATGCAAACTTGCCTTTTCCTGCCTACACTTATCCTGTTAGATGGTTTACTTTGGTAAGCCATTGCTGTATGAAAACATAGCAGGAACAAATCATGCTGCTTCTGTCTCCTCTGCACCTGCTTTTTCAAAGTATAGCTGTATGTGAGCACTACAGCATGCTGAAAGAGAAGGAATGGCTATTTGCCTTTTGCTGACATGAGTCAGTCCACCATTTTCCTTTCTCTCAGATTTTGCAATTATTCAGTCTACAGCTTTTCCCAACTCCAGTCTGAAGGTAGGCTGAAGCTGTAAGGCTATGTCAGCCTTATGTCAGTAAGCACAGAAAACCCTTCTCCCCATGAGAAAAAAAAAAAAAAAAAAAAAAAAAAAAAGTAAAAATCACATTGCATTGATGCCAGTCCTCAGATTATTTTCTCTGGACCTTGCCAAAAGGGGTTGGACTCTGAGGTACTGAGGTTCACCTCCCCTAGCCTTATGCCTAAAACTTATTAAACAGTTTAGGAATGGCACCCACTTCAGTCCTTTGGGGTTCCTCCTCTAATACTTGCAGGTAAGGATGTGCTTGGAATGGAGCATGAAGGTGAGCAAGGTATGGGGACCAGGCTGGGGGAGCAGAGCCCTAGAAGAGGCTGCCTGTGGCACTTCATATGTTGTGCGGTAGTTAAATGATGGTATGAGAATCACAGAATGGTTTGGGTTGTAAGG